TAGGAGTGGATTGGCTGGGTCATAAGGCTAATTCTGTGTTTGACTATATGAGGAATTGCTGAACTTTTTTTTTTTTTTTTTTAAATAGTGGCCAACTTAAAATAAGTCAGATACATTAACTTATTTTACTTAAAACATAAATCACCTCAAGGGTCATCTGTATTATGGCAGAATTTCGTTTCCTTTTTAAGGCTAAATGATATTTTATTGTATGAATAAAGCATGTTTTGTCTGTTCATCTGTTGGTAGACACTGAGTTGCTTCTGCCCCTTGACTGTTGTGAATAATGCTCCTCTGAACATGGATGTCAAATGTCTTTCTGAGTCTTTGCTTTCAGTTCTTTTGGGTCTATACCAGGAAGTGGAATTGTTGGCCAGTGGTTTACGTTTTTTAATATGTGGCTGGATTAGCTTTGCTAGTACTTTGTTGAGGACTTTTTTTTTTTTTTAAAAGATTTTATTTATTTATTTGACAGACAGAGATCACAAGTAGACAGAGAGGCAGGAAGAGAGAGAGGGAAGCAGACTCCCTGCAGAGCAGAGAGCCCGATGCGGGGCTCGATCCCAGGACCCTGAGATCATGACCTGAGCCGAAGGCAGAGGCTTTAACCCACTGAGCCACCCAGGCGCCCCTGTTGAGGACTTTTGCATATATATATTCATAAGGGATAGTGGTCTATAATTTTCATGTGATGTTACTGTCTGGCTTTGGTATCAGGGTAATGTTGGCATCATGGAATGAGGTAAGAAGGATTTCCTCCTCTTTCCTTTTTTTTTTTTGAGAAGACTTTGAGAAGGGTTGGTGCTCTTTTTTCTTTAAATGATTGGTAGAATTCACCAGATCATATGGCTCTGGGCTTTTCTTTGCTGGGAGTTTTATGATTACTTATTTCAGCTTCTTGTGCTATGACTTTATTAAATTAACATTTATTAAATGGAGCACAGAATGCTGGTTGGTGAGCCATGGTTAGGCAATAGACCACAAGAGAAATTGAAATAGAAAAGTTTTTTACTTACAGGTCCTAGAGGAATTATAAGGGCATGCATTTAAGGGACCTCAGAGAGGGAGATCAAGGCAGTTGTAGAGAGAGGTAGGACCTGGAGTACAGTGCCTTTATTAGGTCTATGAGTGGAGTGTTTTGGAGATTCTGGGCTATAGGTAGATTTGTCAGTTCAAACCAAAAGAGTAGGGTTATGGTAAGCTCCACCAGGGCTTTTATCTAAGGGTGCTTAATGCATCATACAGGCACTGGGAACCGGGAGAGACCATTGATCACAAGTCCCATCATGAGTTCTTGTAAACAGACTTACAGTGCTTGTGTCTCTGTGGCGTCCTGTTTAGGACATGTGCTTCCCTGAGAGCTCTAGTTAGTTTACGGTCCTTGCAGGCCCCTTGTCCAAACAAAATGGATGCTGAGGCAGTGGTATCAGGAAGTAGTTTAGCTAAGTAATGACTTGACTTGTCTCAACAACTTCTTGTAGGTCTTTCAAATTTTCTATTTCTTCTTGAGTCATTTTGGGGAGTTTTTGTGTTTCCAGGAATTTCTGTTTTATCTAGATTATCTGATTATCTGTTTTATCTAGATTATCTGATTTATTGGCACACACACTACAGGTGTTTTACAACACTTTTTATTTCTGTAAGGTTAGTAGTAATGTTCCCATTTTTATTCCTGATTTTAATGATTTGTGTCTTCTCTCACTTTTTTTCTTAGTCTAAGCTTGAGTTGTTGATCTTTTTAAAGAACTAACTTTTGGTTTGTTGATATTCTCTATTGTTTTTGTATTCTTTATTTCCTGGATCTTAGTTCTAATATTTATTAATTATTCCCTTATTTTGGGCTTAGTTTGTTCTTTTTCTAGTTCCTAAAGGTGGATGTTTAGGTTATTAATTTGAACTCTTTATTACTTCTTTTTTAATGTAGATGCTTACAGCTGTAAATTTCCCTTAGCACTTTTTCACTATATCACGTATTTTTAAATATGTTGTACTTTCATTTTTTAATAAAGATGTTATTTATTCATTTGTCAGAGTGAGAGAGAAAGAGCACAAGCAAGGGGAGGGGGAGGCATGGGGAGAAGCAGGCTCCCCACTGAGCAAGGAGCCCACTGTGGGACTCGATCTAAGATCTCTGGGGTCATGACCTAAGCCATGACCTGAGCAGACGCTTAACTGACTGAGCCACCAGGCGTCCCTGTACTTTCATTTTTATTCACCTCAAAGTATTTAATTTTCCTTGTGATTTGTTCTTTGACTCACTGCTTGTTTAAGAGTGTGTTGTTCACTTTGTAGTTTGTGGATTTTCCAAATTTCCTTCTGTTACTGATTTCTAGTTTCATTCCATTACAGTCAAATAAGATACTTTGTATGATTTCAACTTTTAATAATTTATTGAGACTTGTTTGGCGGTTGAACATATGGTCCAGCTTGGAGGATGTTCCATATGCACTGAGAAGAATGTATATATGTTGTGTTAGGTGGAACATTCTATATACGTCTAGTAGGTCTAGTTGATTTGTAGTATTATTCATGTCTTATATTCCTTGTTTATCTTTTATATGGTGCTTTCTTTTCTTTTATCTGTGCTTTCCATTGTTAGGTGGGAGTTGACATCTCTAGCTATTTCCCACATTAGTTTTATCATTTTTTAAAAAATTTTATTTATTTATTTGACAGAGATCACAAGTAGGCAGAGAGACAGGCAGAGAAAAAGGGGAGGAAGCAGGCTCCCTGCTGAGCAGTGAGCCTGATGTGGGGTTCAGTCCCAGGACCCTGAGATCATGACCTGAGCCAAAGGCAGAGGCTTAACCCAGGCGCCCCAGTTTTATCAGTTTTTGATTCATGTATTTTATTACATGTCATTAGGTGCATATATGTTTATAACCCTTTATATTATACAATGTCCTTCTTTGTCTCTTGTAATGTTTTTTGTCTTAAAGTCTATTTGTCTGATATTAGTATAGCCACTCCAGCTCTCTTTTGTTTGCTGCTTACATGGAATATCTTTCTGTCCTTTCAATTTCAGCTTATTTGTGTTTTTGTTTCTAAAGCACAACTCTTGTAGATAGCATTAAAATGAAATCTGTGTAGCCGATCTCTGCCTTTTAATTGAAGTGTTTAATCCATTTACACTTAATTAATTACAGAGACAGAAGGACTTCTGCTATTTTTTTGTTTGTTTCTTATATCTTTTTTTTTTCTTTATTCCTCCATTACTACCTTCTTTTGTGCTATATGTTTTCTCGTGATATTTTGATTTCTTTGTCATTTCTCATACATACATTACAATGTATCGTTTAGTTAATTCTTAGTGGTTGCCCTCGGGATTACAATCAGCATCTTAATTTATAATCATACAGTTTAAATTAATACCAACTTAATTTTAATATTATACAAAAACTATTCTTCTGTATAGCTCTGTACCTCTACTTCTATGTTATTGTCACATTATATCTTTATAATTGTGTGCCTGCAAGATAGATTTATGATTATATTATGTATTTTTCTAATTGATTGATTTTTAAACGTTAAGCCAGTATTTTATTCTTAGACTAAATTCAGACAATTATGATGTGTTACTGTTTTATCTTTATAATGTATTACTAGTTCACTTTACTAATGTTTTGGTAAGGATTGCCTTATCTGTGTTCATGAGAGATATTGGGGGTGTGTGGGTGTGTGTGTATGTGTGTGATATCTTTGTCAAGTTTTAACATTAGTAACATTGATCTTATGAGTTGGAAATTGTTCTTTTCCTCTATTTTATTTTTGTGTTAAATTGATGTTATTTCTTAAATGTTTGATAGAATTTATCAGTGAAACCATCTGGACCTACACTGTTTTGTGGGAAGCTTTTCAATTATTTATTCACTTAAATAGATATAGGATTATTCAGACATTTTATTTCAATTTTGGCATGTTGGATTTTTTCAAGGAGGGTGTCTGATGCATCTAAGCTGTCAAATATGTTACTATAAAGTTGTGCATATTCTCCTAATAACCTTTTAATGTCTGTGGCAATGTAATTCATAAAAAATGCTTTTATTAGTATGGTATCAAACGTTTATATAGTACTTATTTCATACTTTTCGCTTTATAAGTAATAACTCTTTTAATTCCCACAGCAATTGGTGAGGTAGATAATGTTATCGTCTCTGTGTTCTAGATGAAAAAACAAACCAGAATTAAACTAAAAGAATTAAGGTGCCTTGCTCAAGATCACAGAGCTGGTGTATTAAGGGCTTAAATTATAATCCACGTGGTCTGGGTCTAGAGTCCTTTTTCTTGACTACTGTTTATTTTGCATTTCTTAAATGACAGATACCTGTTCTTTTCTTCGTAGGGAATTTTGCTGTTTTCTTTCTGGTGCTCCTCCCACCTTTATTTCACTGATAGAAATATTTACTTCTGGTATTACTAATTAGAACTTGGAATGCCTTTCCCCATAAAAACATTATATATGATGGCTATACATGCTTGAAATATTGTTTTTTTTAAGGAACTTACTTATTTATTAGACAAAAGGAGGGAGCAAGTGGTGGGGGGCAGAGGGAGAGAGAGAATCTCAGTCAGACTACCTGCTGAGTGAAGAGCTTGATGTGGTGCTCGATCTCAGGACCCTGAGATCATGTCCTGAGCCAAAATCAAGAGTTGGACACTTAACTGACTGAGCCACCTAGGTGCCCCTTGAAATATTATTTTTAATACTCATCTTCAGTCACATCATATGTTAAAAAGCCTTCTGGGGCTTCCCCAGGAAGTTCACTACAATTTATAATGTAAAACAGGGTTTCTCTATGAAAATACTAGAAGATACTTATTTTAAATACACTTAATACTTAAAAGGTTAAACTTCAGTTATATGGAAATTTTACTTTTTGGAATCCCTTAATGATTTGAATTTACTGAAGCTAAATAATAATTTTCAGAAGACAAACAGTAAGATTAATTTTTACACATTCTGTTTTACTTTCATTAATTTGTCAATTAATGTCTTTCAGGGTTATTCAAATGCTCAGAAGAATATTCTTCTTCAGGTGGATCAGAACTGTGTTCGCAATTCCTATGATGTCTTCTCTTTGCTGCGGTAAGAAACTTCTTAGACCTCCTGCATTTTCTAAAGAATCTTCCTCATTTTGAGTTTGTGACATTTCTGTGTAAGAAAATGTATGGGAGCTTTAGAAGCTGTTATTCAGGCTTAACATTTTTTAGTGAGAGCTTCATAAATTTTGTAGCTACAGTGATTTAACTTTATCTCTTTCACAAAGCCTTTGGAACGCCATTTCCTTTCTCTGGACAGTGGGAGAGAATGATTGGAAGCCAATGATCTTAAAACAGGAACATGAGCTGTTTCTGGTTTTCTGTACTATAAAGAGCAGCAACCAGAGTTACAGAATTTAGGCTTATCAAAATCTTAACAACTACAGCATTACTAGAAAAGCCCTCCAATAGCCCCAGACATGGCTTAGAGTTTTGACCTGCTGTTCATCTTAAAAGAATCATGTTTGGCAAGGCAAAGGAGCTTTGCATGAATCTCATGCTCAGAGGCTTAACTAACTGCCTTAACTCTGTATTTTCATAATGTCTGGGCTTAATTTTGAAACATTTCTAAATTTGTTTTTAATTTTCGATGTGGTAGATCATCAAGGACATTTTCCCAGGAGACAGGCAACCAAAATAAATGCAATTCAAAACAAAGGTAACAGTGACACTCAGCCTGTGTTCACCCTACTCAGACAGATGGTTCATTGAAATTTGATTTTGGCAGTATTTTTCTAATGTTTACATAACACATCATAAATTTCAGACCATTAGACAACTTCAATATATCTACTAGAGGAAGAGTCTAGAAGGATGGTTGGACTCTTGTCCAATTGGATGATTGTTTATTTTATAAACATTATGAAGTGGACCTTTTCTTTGCAAATCTTGAATCTTATTATACTTAATGATAAAGTTTGGTCACATGACCTGTGTAAATTGCTCTTAAGAGACAATCATTTCAACTAAAGTAACCACAGACATTTGATGACTTTTGATTCTTATCTGATTCGTACTTTCACTTTGACTTTTTTGGATATGTAAGAGAACGCACAGGATTTAGTAATTGGATGGTGGAGAGAAAAAGCAGGAGGTGTCAAAATATATAACTCGTATTTTTGACTCTATTCAGTTTGAGACTACATTGAGTTTTAAATATTGCAAAGAGGAATGTACAGAAATAGTTTGAAACTAATTATTTCTTGACCTGTTTTCCTCATGAAATGAGGGTATGGATTTCACTATTTTAAAGATACTGTCCGAGTGTGAGATGATGTGATCTTATTAGCGAAATCAGTAGAATCAAAAGAAAAGGAAATATGAAGTCAGTGAAAAGAGGAGAACTGGGGGAAAATTGCATCATAAAATCTAAAGGAATAGAGATTCAAGCAGTGTTGAGTGCTCTGTGATGAGACAGGAAAATAAGGACTGAAGAAGTGCTGTAGGGTCTTGGGAAACAATGTGGTACAATTGAGAATGCTTTGGTTAACTTGACCCTGACTTCAGTTGTCCCTGGTTTATCAGAATTCATTTAACGTTTCTGATTCTTCCAAAAGGTAGAGGCAGTAATATTTTAAGTTTGTGTAACTTATGAGCATTTCCATATTTACTGTCTTATACTCTTTGAAGTTTTTTGTGTTTCGACATCAGGGATCAGCCTTTGTCTTCAGTGTAGAAGCTGAGGCCAAGAGGCATTACAGGATTTATCTGAGAGTACACAGCGAGTAAGAGCCAGACTGGAGGTCGATGTGAAGTTTTCCCGCAAGCAGGTTTTGCAGATCCTTTTCAGAGTCTCACTTACCTTCCTAGATTGGTGGTTACAAGGTAGTTATAAGGTACACATAGCATAATGACAGAGAAAATTTCTGAAAATCACAGAGCCTTTCATAAGTGCAAAATCATTGGGGGAATTTGGTAGTTAGTGCTCAATTATTTAACATTGATTCTTGCAATGATATGTCTCTTGGGGGGTCTCATTTCTAGGGTGCTTTCCAGATTCCTCAGGTGTGTTAGCAGTTTGATTTCCCTTATTTATTAGCAGTGGCCTTATCATTAGCATTGCGTGTATCATTTATAGCTGGTAACATAGATGTACTCTTTTGAAACAGATCAAGTGTTCATTTACCAACCAATTTACCAGAGCCCAGAGAGTTACTCTGGAACTAGAAACTTAATACTGTAGTCATCAACATTAATGAGTAACATGGAACTTCCTTTGATAATTCTCTTAGACATTAGTAAGGAGTAACCACCATCTATCTGTTTGCTAAATCAAAAGCTCTTCTTACCTCACAGTTCTTGGCATGGTTTATGTTTGCTGGTAAACTTAATTTTGTGCTGATCAATTTCATTCATTTTCCCTTCTTTAATTCAGGTAACATTGTACCTAGATGGGAGTAATTTTTAAAAATATACCTTTTCTGGGGCGCCTGGGTGGCTCAGTGGGTTAAAGCCTCTGCCTTCAACTCAGGTCATGATACCAGGGTCCCGGGATCGAGCCCCACATCGGGCTCTCTGCTCAGTAGGGAGCCTGCTTCCTCCTATCTCTCTGCCTGCCTCTCTGCCTACTTGTGATCTCTGTCTGTCAAATAAATAAATAAAATCTTTAAAAAAAAAAAAATATATATATATATATATATATATATATACCTTTTCTTTCCTTGATGCTTTTTTTGGTGTGTGAAATTGTTACTTCTTGATCTGTAATTTTATGTGAAAACATAAAGTCTGAATTCTTTAATATCACTTAACTTCACAAAATTCTCAGTGCCATTTGAAATCAGGACTAGAATCTTAGTTTCTTGAGTCTGTTTTTTGAAAGTATATTCTAGTTAGTAACTTTCACTGTGTTATTGTGCCACTAGGATGCATATTTCCTTCCACTTTTTATAATGTGAATGTTACAGAAAAAATAAGAAATCTTGACTAAGGGGCACCTGGGTGGCTCAGTGGGTTAAAGCCTCTGCCTTCGGTTCAGGTCATGATCCCAGGGTCCTGGGATCGGGCCCCGCATCGGGCTCTCTGCTCTGCAGGGAGCCTGTTTCCTCCCCTCTCTCTCTCTGCCTGCCTCTCTGCCTACTTGTGATCTCTCTCTGTCAAATAAATAAAATCTTAAAAAAAAAAAAAAAGAAATCTTGACTAAAGCAGGGATTTTGCAACACCTACGACCAAAGCATTAGACCCCCCTTCAGATGGATATGTTGTTTACCATTTTTAAGAAAACAGTGACCTGAGGTTTTATTCAGATTTTTCTGCCGGTAGTTAAAAGAATGTAGGCTGATTTCAGTTTTACCAAAGTAATAGCAGGTCTTTCCAAATTTACATTCAGTGTATGCAGTGGTAATTACATTTTGCTTCTTTAACCCTTGGAAATTCCTGGGTTAAGAGTTAGTTTTCTGTAAGCAGACATTTAATTAGGAACCACTTTACTCCTTACATTTGACTCATTACCCTTGAATTAGGATGTTCACCACAAGGTGTCAATGTTGCTCCTTAACTGGCACTTGAAATTTCATTTATTTTATGGTTTTAAAGTGAGAAAAGTTGGGTTATAAATTACAAGTGGGAATTTATTTTTAGTTAACTTTTTTTTTCTCTTTTATTCCTTCTAGGTTAAGGAGTTTCAAGGCTTATTAGATAACTTTCTCCTTTTGGTTCTGATGATTTTATTTAATCCTATTGGTGATACAGAGTTATTGAAAGCTTAGAAAGAGGAGTGACATGGTCGGGTGTGCAATTTAGATTTCTAACTGTGGGGACTGTGTGCTATCAGTGGGATGGAGCTGGAAGCAGGAAACATCTGTAATCCTGTCTGTTCTCTGAGATTGAAAGATTACTTTTGATTTTTAAAAGGTCATTTTTTCCCCCTTTCATACTAAATATGCTATAGTGAGATTAAGTGAGAATAATTCAGGTTTTCTTCTAGGGCAGTTTTTATTGCTCCTTTCCCCTTCTTGACATGTCCTACTTTTGCCACATTGAAGAATTGGAAATATGGTGGAGAATCATGGGCCCTCCACCTAGGTTCCAGTCCTAACACTGTCATATCCTATGTCCGTAACTGGTTGTAAGACTTTGGGCAGATTACTTTGTATGGCTTAAACTACTTTTGTGAAATAGCTATTATATTTATCTCAGAGGGGTGTTTTGAGAAGTAAGGTAAAATATTTGAAGGATCCTAGGACAGCTACTGGCATATGGTAGACATTCAGTACATAATAGTTTTTGTTTGCTCCTTTCCTTCCCCCATCGTAGAATTCGTGTTTCTTTTTTTTATGTTAGCATTAGTTTTTTCAATTTCCGGCTTAATTTCTTTTTCTTTTCTTGCCATTCTAGACTACCACCTCTGCTTTTAGCCTTACTTCTATTAATCCTGAGCAATCATGATAAAATTATTTAATGGGTGTATGTCTTTTCTCCCTAATGACATTGAAAACTTCTTGAAGAAAGGGATTATTTCCTATGACTATATTTTTTCCTCTCTATCTTCCTCACAGTTGATGGTTATATTGGAATTCCCATGGATGCTGTTGTGATCCTGGAGCCCCACGTCCTGTAGACTAGATCCTACAACCCTTCTGCTTTACTCTTTCTCCCTGAGTACTCTCTTCCATTACTACAGCTTCACCCAACACAGCCACATGTTAGTAACTCTCAAACCTATATGTCTAGTTCCTTCCCTTCTTTTGGATTTCTGATCTGTATTTTCCAGTGACTGTTAGACATTAATACTTTCATGTTCTGTAGGAATCTTATCCCTAACATGTCCTGAGTTAGATTCATTAGTGTTATTCTCCTCTTCCTTTTCTTTTCCCTGTATGTCTCATGTCCTATATGTCATCTTTTCAAGCACCTAAGTGAACATACCCTTCTTTGTTCTCATCTCTATTTTCTGCGACTATTTCTTGACCTCCTAACTAGTCTCCCTACTACCAGTTTTTCCTTCATGTAATTGATAACTATTGTTTATTGAGCAATTACTTTGTGCCAGGAGCTTTTCTTACTGCTTTACATTAGTTCTTCTAGTTTTCACAGCAGCTGTTTCTA